ATGTGTACTTTTAAAAGAGTCTTGGAGGAGCCTCTTCCCCTGCCAAGTCCAAGAACTCTAGAGAGAGGCACGTGGTACAGGAGAGAGGGCCTGGGCGCTGGAGTCCCACAGACCTGGGCACACATGCCAAGGCAGTCACTTTCTGGTTGTGTGACAGGCACGTTTGCTGGACCTGCTTGAACCTGTTTTCCCTTTTAACACTGGGGATAGTATTACCTGCCTCCTAGATTGCTGTTAGTGTTAGAAATTATATATCTATACAGAGAAAAAAACTCTAGGAGGATATTGTATCAGGATAATGACTGGTTACAAATAACAGAATCTCAACCACAGCGGCCAAACAAGAGAGGCCATCACTTTATTTCACGTCACAAAATATTTGGAAGCAGACAGTCCAGTTTTGGTATAGCAACTCTAAGATTAAAAGAGGGGACAAGCCCTTCCCCGATTGTCGTCTCTGTCTCTTGTTCTTATTCAAATCTGCGTCGCCCCTCTCGTGTCCCATTTGCCCTTGCCACACTAAACGTGACACCCGATTCCCCAACGCTGTTCCACTCCCCCAATTCCCCAATAAAATCTTTAAAAAGAAAGGGGACAAGGCTTTGCCAGTTTTTCTGCCCTGCCATCTTTGCCTCTGGTTTTGATCCTCATAGGTCCAAGATGGTTGCTCCACCTTCAGGCATCTATTGCACGGTGTAGGCAAAAGCCTGTGCCAGCTGACTCTGCCTATAAGCTTTCCTGTAAGCTTTTCTGCTGACATTACAGTAGTCAAAATCAGGCCCTCAGGCTATTCCAAATTACTGCTCAATGTATACCCACACGCATGCTATTGCCTCTAAACTCTTTTGCAGATAGAGCTTACATCTGGCCCAGTGTCACATAATATGTGCTCAATAAATAATTTGTTGAATTGAAACATTGAACTATCTCATCAAAGTACGATTTCCTCTATGAATAATAAGTCAAAAGTAAAAAACTTGACTCCACATGATTAAACGCTCCTGTCAAGAAAGTTCTATGTGTTCCTTCACTAGTGTGGAAAAAAAACCCAAAAAATGCCTACAAGTGCAGAAAAAACAAAAAGCTACTTACCTGGCTCCCAAGCCATCCCACAAATTGCGTTGTCCAGGTTGCTTTGCCTTGTACTTGCTAATCTGGAACCCGGGAGATGGAAAGCAGAGGTCATCCAGTATGTGACCTGTTTGGAGAGCATGGTCCACGCGATCCCTCAGAAATGGAGGAGTCCCAGGTGCCACGTTAAACTTCCAGAAGCAATATGTCTTGAGTGTGGTTCTGGCAACTGTTAGGCAGCCATGTCTGTGAGAAATCATATCAAGAACTGAAGAGTCACTAAAATAAGGAGCTGAGTTAATTATCCTTACCTGTGGTTCCCAAGGCAACAAGGCAACAACCCCCTTAGGATCCTGGGTAATAAGATCCTTTCAAACTCACTTGGGAGATATCGGCTGTCTGTGCCCTACACCTGCCTTGCTGGATATGATTCATAAGGTTTCTGCCTTTTGGTGAGCTGGATAAAAACACCCTGCATGTTAGTTCTTACTTGTGTGTTTTCAGGTCCCACAGCTGTAAATACCCCAAACAAAGGACCTCTGGTTACAGACACCCGCTGCATGTGAAAGGATATTGAGCAATTCAGATGCGGAGTCTTGATTTAGAGCTTTGTAGCCACTTAGGAGATTGGTTCCAGCAATTCCTCGCTTTTTTGGAATTACGCAGAAAAAGGTAGTATAGAGCCACAATTCCTTAGCCACAATTCTGAAATTTCAGAACTTGGTCTCAGAAACCAAATGTTTGGTTCTTAAACTAACCGGGCAGCAAAATCTGGCCTGAGCTGATGATGTAAGTCTATTGATGGTCCTTACTTATTCCACTTGGTATAAATAATCATACATTTCACTGGGAACATATCCATGGATTTAACTATGGGGACCACCCTGACTCTGCTGCAAGTATTATGTCATGCTATGTGCATACAGTATGGACACCATATTTCTGAAAAACTCTGAATTCCAAAACATATGGCCCAAAGGTTTCAGATAAAGGATTGTGAACCTATAAAAGCGAACCTCAGTTACTGATGGGTTATTTAGCATGTCAAATTGCACTTGTAGCACCATTATAAACTGTAGATTCTCAGCTTTCCCTGCCCAAACATACAGTATATCTAACGCTGACTATTGCATGCTGTATCAGCCTTGCAGAAAATTCTTCAGACTCATTATACACACCCCAAAATTGTTACACTACGAATTTGCACTGGCTCTGCCTATATTTACAAGGGCTGCCCCTCCTTACAGGCAGAACAACTCCATTTGCTTTTCATATCAATAAGAAAACAAGCATCCTCCTAGAGCAAATATACTCAAGTTTCTTTGCAAGTTTCCAGGGGAAGCAAATTAGAACAGCTAGAAGGAGGAGAACACGTTCCTTTTCTTTTGTGTATTGCCTGATCCTCTTTACGTGGCTGTGGCATAGGACTTGGTTTTGTGACTCCTGTACATATTACCACAGCAAGGTCATTTTTCAAATACCCAGATAAGTCAGAAATCATGATTTAGATCTTTCATTGAACAGGAATCAGATACATAATGCAGAACACACGAAGGTTTCATGGATGACAAAATTATTAGATTGGATGAATGGATCAAGGTCTAAAAAACCTTACTAAGGCTGAATATTCCTCTCTCTCTCTCTCTCTCTCTCTCTCTCTCTCTCTCTCTCTCTCTCTATATATATATATATAATATATATATTTATATATATATTTTTATATATATAATATCTATATATAATATAGATATAATATCTATATATATAATATAATAATATCTATATATATACAATATCTATATATTATATCATATATAGATATATATGATATATATCTATCATATATATATGATAGATATATATATATGATAGATTTATATCTATCATATATATATCTAATATATATAAAAATAGAGGAGATATAGGCGTTTCCCTGTTGTCCTCTGTACCCAGAAAAATGGAATGTACTCAATAAGTAATTGAATCAATGACTAATTGCTCCTGTCACAGACGAAACACATACCAACAGGCCAAAAGACATTCCAAAGATACTCATGACGCCTTACTCATCTCTCATGGAAGAAAGTCCTATAACTCAAAAAAGAAACTCAGTAGACTTCACAGCCTCTTAAATTTGCATTCACAACCACCATGTCCTCTTTGATGCAGGATCCCAGGATGGGTATGAAATCCTCTCCAAGACTAAGATCTTGTGCTTAGCACTGAACTGTCTGTCTCTTCATGGATCTAGGGTGGCCTCTTTACTAAATGAATTACTTCCTGGAGAAAGTAATTCTCCTTTGTGCTCTGGAGGTGGGGTTTCAGCGACACCAAACCTTACTGTATCAGCTCTTACCTAGGCTATTGCAATAGCCTTACTGTTTCCAGGGCCTAGACCATGCTTCCCTGAGCTCAGAGCCTGTTCTCACCCCTCATTTGGGCTTCTTCTCAGTCTACTGTGTTGGAAAAGCCTTCAAGTACTCTTATCAAAAAGAGCTCTGCCCAAACAAGTGCTGGAGACGGATAATGGTCATAGTTGTACAACAATGTGATTGCACTTAGTGTCACTTAATTGTACACTGAAAAATGGTTAACATGGTAAATTTTATGTAATGTACATTTTATCACAATTTTTAAAAAAAGGGAAAAAAAGTCACACCCAGCATGTTCCATCTTTCTCACCTGCTTCCTTTCTTTTTCTTCTTAAAGCTTATCAGTACCTGGCACTGTAGATGCATATGTCTGTTGTCTATATTCCCCCAGAAGGAAGCTCAAGGAGACCAGGTGTTCCATTTGTTTTCTTCACTCTCATATTTGTGATGCCCAGAACAGTGCCTGGCACACTGTAAGTACTCCTAAAGATTTTCTGAAGGAATGAATGAAAGCAAGCAAGTAAGCTAGGTCTCAAATTAGTATTCCCACCTCTAGTTTCTCTCCATCTAATGCAATTCATCATAAACATTGACCCTAGGGTTAGCTGAGTTATCTTTTCAAAACGTAGATCTGATATTATTCCCATCCCCTCGAACTCTCCATGTTTAGAAGAAAAACAAACACTATTTTTAAAAAGAGAAGCAACAGTAAGTGCTAACTAACCATAGAATGTTGCATACATAGATCGACTCTGGGAAATGACTTCCTGATTTCTCTGCATGCCAAAGTCTCATGAAAGACTTAATAAAAATATTAAGTCATAAGCAATCCAACACCATGAATAACAATAACAAAAAAAAATTCTTCAAACTAGCTTTGGCATAAAGTCCAAATTTAATAGATGGCTTGAGCTCTTAATTTCTTTGAATGAATGTAACGGTTCCAGTACAATAATTAACAAAGCCATGTAATTTACAAGCATGTTGCCTCCTTCCCTCACATAACTGTATGGAGCAGGAATATAGGAGTGTAATCCAACTCCTTATCTACAGCTTCATGGCCTCTATGATCTAGCCTCTATCTATCTTTTTCATCCCCTGTCCACCCAATGCACCCATACTCCAGCAACACTTCTCTACTCACTTTACCCAATCCACATTTGTACGCTGGTCACCTCTGCTCAGATCTCTCCCCTACCCAGAATGCCCGCAATTCTCCCTCCAGCTGACCCCTTTCGTGGAGTATCTTTATCCTCCACCCCTGTCCACCTGCCACAATTGTACTCATCCTTCAAGGCCTTTTCCTCCAATGTTGCCCTAAATCAAAAGCAATTGCTAGTTTCCTTGAGCTCATATGATATTTTATTTTAAGCCTCTTGTCGAGCTCTACATGTTGGATCCAAGTCACATATGCCTCTGCCTCTCTTCCCAACTGTCAACATTGAGAGGGGTGTGGCAGCGTACACAATAGGTGCTCAAGGCAATTCTTGCTATGTGTGCCTCCAGGATGTTACATTCTCCTCGTCTAGACACTCTATTAAAACTACTGTTTCTCAGCTCTAGGTATGGATGCTGGTGGCTGCGTCCAGAACACAGTGGTGCCAAGCGTGACTTCATGGCAGGTGCCCATTGGCAGAGGGAAGAGACAGCCCTGTCTGTTTTCGCCTCATTGACCCCTAGGCCTGGTGGAATTTCAAGGAGGGAGTCAAGAAAGCGGATGTTTACAGTGTGTCATCACAGGAAAAAGAAGGCTTCTGATAAGCGGATCCTGAAACTGGGGGAGGCAGAGCTTTGTCGGTGTTTGGCTTTGAGTCAGTGTGGAGAGAGTAATCAATTTTGACCCATCAAAAACCCCATTGTTTGGTCTCATTACCACAGACAAATGTCTCTGATGGGAGGGTCCTATCAGTGGTGGGTGGAAGATTAGATAGAGGTAGAGACTCCATCTGGCGAACATCAATTTGTTCTCTGTACCTTTGAGTCTGTTTCTATTTTGTTTGTTCATTTATTTTGTTTTTTAGATTCCACATACAAGTGAAATCATATGGTATTTGTCTTTCTCTGACTTATTTCACTTACCATATCTCTAGGTCCATCCATGTTGTTGCAAATGACAAGATTTCACTCTTTTTTTATGGCTGAGTAATATTCTACTGTATATATGTATCACATCTTCTTTCTCCATTTGTCTACCAATGGACACTTAGGTTGCTTCCATATCCTAGCTATTGTAAAGAATGCTGCAATGAATATAGGGTGCATATATCTTTTTGAATTAATGTTTTAGATTGCTTTGGATAAATACCCAGAAGTGGAATTGCTAGGTAATATGGTAGTTCAATTTTTTTTCCCCAATTTTTAATTTTTTGAGGAATCTCTATACTGTCTTCCATAGCGGCTGCACCAGTTTACAATCCCACCAACAGTACATGAGGATTCCCTTTTCTCCACACCCTGGCCAACACTTGTTTGTTGGTTTATTGATGATGGCCATTCTGACAGGTGTGAGGTGACATCTCATTGAGGTTTAGATTTGCATTTCCCTGATGATTAGTCATGTTGACCATATTTTTATATGTCTATTGGCCATCTGTATTTCTTTTTTAGAGAAATGCCTGTTCTGGTCCTCTGCCCATTTTTTAATTAGATTGGTGTTGTTTTTTTTCTCTTTTTTTGGTGTTAGTTGTATGAGTTCCTTATATATTTTGAATATTAACCACTTACCAGATGTATCACTAGAAATATCTTCTCCCATTCAGGTTTTCTTTTCATTTGATGGCTTCCTTCACTCTGTAAAAATATTTTAGTTTGATTGTCCCATTTGTTCACTTTTTGTTTCCCTTGCCCAAGGAGACATACCAAAAAAAAATGGCTAAGACTGATGTCAAAGAGTTTATTGCATATGCTTTTTCCTAGGAGTTTTAAGGTTTCAAGTTTTACATTTAAGTCTTTAATCCATTTTAAGTTTATTTTTATTTATTTATTTATTTTTATGAAATCAGTTTAAATACTTCATGGTTTTTTATCTGAAGTTTTTTCAGCTATTCTTTTTTTTTTTTTTTTAAAGATTTTTATTGAGGAATTGGGGGATGGGAACAGCGCTGGGGAATTTGGGGAAGGGGAACAGACAAGTTGCTATCCTTTTGTTCTTCAGTCTAGTTCTGGAGGACGTTGCCTCACTGGCCCAAGTTGGCACCATCATTGCGCTCTTCCCGGGTGAGGCAGATCAGTCGCCGGCTTCTGAATGGCCACTCACGGTGGCTTGAGGGCCGCTCATGCTGGCTGCTGGCTACACACGGTAGCCCATGGCAACCCACTGCAGCAGAGGACTACAGCCTACACCGTCGCCGGGGACTCAGGGCAGCCCAGCTCCAGGTTGAGCTGTTGTTCAGCATCTTAGCTGTAGAGGGCAGTGTCACTGTCCCTCATATGTGGGATCTGAACCGGGGCCCTCTGGCGTCCCAAGCCAGTTCTTAACCAATGCGCCACTCAGCCGGCCCTTCAGTTTATTTTTGTACATGGAGTAAGGACGTGGTCTAGTTTCATTTGTTTGCATGTATCTGTCCAGTTTTCCCAACACCATTTATTGAAGAGACTGTCTTTACCTCATTGCCTCCTTTGTCACAGATTAAATGACCATGTAGGCATGGAGTTAGTTCTCGGCTCTCTATTCTCTTCCATTGAGCTATGTGTCTGTTTTTATGCCAGTACCATAGCAAGGCCAGTACCAAACTATAGCCTTGTAGTATAGTTTGATATCAGGTAGTGTGATACCTCCAGCTTTGTTCTTTTCTCAAGATTGCCATGGTTTTTGGGGGTCCTTTACGGTTCCATATAAATTTTAGGATTACTTGTTCTAGTTCTGTGAAAAATGTCATTGGTATTTTGATAGAGATTGTGTTGAATCTGTAGATTGCTAACAAAACATTTTTAATGGAGTCAGAGGATTCTACAATTGGCAAATCTTATGTATGTGTGTATATATGTATGTATGTCTTCAGTTACAAATGTATATAGCAAAATATTTAAAACAGATTAAAGTTTAAGAACTCCTATATTTCTAAAACAGTGAGTCAAGACCTAGTAATTAGGGTCATCATAAAATTGGTAGAGGGAGTTGTTATGGGTTGAAGTGTGTGTCCCCCCAAAGAAAGATGTTGCAGACCTTCCTATAGTACCTCAGAATGTGAATTTATTTGAACATATAGTCATTGCAGAGGTAATTAGTTAAATTAAGATGAGGTCCTACTGGAGTAGGAACATGGATACCTAATCCAATATGACTGGTGTCCTTTTAAAACGATGGTCGTGTGAAGACAAAGAGACATAGAGGGAAGAATGCCAAGTGACAGTGGAGGTAGAAATTGGAGTTATGCAGCTACAAGCCCCAAGGAATGATCAGAAGCTAAAAGAAAGTCATGAAACAGATTCTCCCTTAGAGCCATCAAAAGAGTACCTTCCCCACATTTTGATTTTTGGACTTCTGGCCTCCAAAACCATGAGGCAATCAATTTCTGTGCTTAAAGCCACCCAGTTTGTGATACTTTGTGATGGCAGCTCTAGGAAACCAATATAGGGGTGGTCATAAACTGAGGGATGATATGAACAACAACATGGCCATGCTAACACCCCTCTAATAGGCCAAGAACCCCCCAGGCAGTGGTGTGCTGGGGCCCGCACAATCGCGTCCCAGGTCCACGTTTAGTGAGGTCATGTTGGCAGCTTGAAACCAGCCATTTAAGTGAACAACCACCCTGTTTCCTGGGAAATGAGGGGTTTCCTGGGATTCAGGACTTTCAGTGCTAAAGCTGGGAAAGTTCCAGGCAAACTAGAACAAATTGGTTACCCTACCAGCTATGGGAGGGAAATTTACGCCATGGAAATGGGTAAACTCTACAAATGAGGGCACTGCCCCCTTGGAGAGCTGCTTGTGAAATGTTGGCTAGCCACCACTCTGCCCAAGTTGGTGTCCCCGGCACAGCCACATTTTATTTGCACAGTGAACCCAGCTTAGGTGCCTAAAACTGTTCCTCCAGCTCTTCATCAAATTGATGGGATTGCATAGCAGATACCGGCATGAATAAGGACCTGGGACATTATCCTTTCAATTAGAAAAGGTAAGCCTTTGCGGGATAAGTAGTTCAGTAATAACCCCAACATAATGATTCACATGGACAAAGCACTTTAAAATTTAAAGTTCAGAGATCCCTTTCCCCAAATTTTATGCTCTCTCCCAAATCAACAGTTTTATCTTGTTTTTTTGTTTGTTTGTTTACTTATTTCATCACCAAAATCAAAGTTGTTCCCAAATGGATACATAGAATTATAGACTCCGAGTTGAACACAAGCTGGGAAATGCTAAGCATGACAATTTTTAAGGTCTTAAAAAAATATATATATATATATATATATATTTTTTTTTTTTTTCCCCCTTAAGAACATCATAATGGAAGTACAGAGTTGCTTAACATTCTCCCATGGACTTATACACCTAGATTTTAAGCCTTACAATAAGTTGTATTTATTGCACTATTTAGTGGAAAATCAGCAGAGACTTATTGAACACCAGCACTTAGCCCACCATGTGAGGTATAAATAAAATAAAAAAGCTTCTGGGTTTTGCCCTAGCAGTATAGCATCACCGCTTTTCTCTTCTACAAGAGAAACAGTAGAGAAATGCAAGAGGGTGAGTAAAATCTCCACTAGATGGATGGAGCACCAACCTGGGGGCCTCCCCTTCCCAACCGGGCATCACACCATGAAAACGCCGCAACAACAGGACCTCCCCTCCCTAACTCTGCTCTCTGGCTCACTCTCTACTGTTCTAATCCCTCCTACCCACCACTTGCTTAGGACCAGAGGACCTATTTAAAATGCACAGCTACTAGGTAGAATGACCTCCAGGGTATATTGTACAGGAAAAAACAAAACAGAACCCAAGATGCAGAACAGTTTGTATACTGTACTACCTTTTATCATTTAAAAAGCCATCCTGCATATGCTGGCATAAATACGAGGTGGTCTCTGAGCCTGTAGTACACTCTTTTCACAATGCATTTCATTCGTTTACCTTTCTACTTCTTTTTGGGAGACCATGGCTTCCTTGGGAGGAAGGAATGCCTCTGTTCACCTTTGTATCCTACCTAGCATGTGGCTTGGATCAAATAGGCAATCAATAAAAGTCAGTTGAATAAACAAATATTAAATACAGGTATAAACACTGCCCTTAACAGTTTCCTTGTCTCAGTTAAATTTACTAAGCCAATTTTTTTTTAACATAAACACACATCCATCAAGGGTGTTTGTCACTTCCTACCTTTTTAAAGTTTTTTCTTTTTTAAATCAGGAAGAGCCTGGGGTGGGGGGGGGGAGTAAGTCATGCGAGAGCGCGCACACACACACACACACACACACACACACACACACATCTAGAAAGACCAAAACAAAAGCAATTTACAAGCCCCAGCTCATCGTCTCACTAGCTTTGTGCACAGATCCTATAATTTGTGGCTACTAAACACTGTTATTTTCCTTCTGTGGGCATTAGGCAACTCAGGACAGGGTTCCAGAAAAAATTCAACACTACTGACACTCATGATGATTACTATTATTAACACTGTTTATTTTTTTAATGGCCCATCTTCTAAACCGGTGTACCCAACCTTAGAGAAGAACGTCTTCGTAACATCGCAGCCAAATGCAGCCCTGAAGTCTCCCGCCCTCCCGTCATTGACTTGCTTCCCAAAGTCCCTGGGACTCTCCCCTCCTTTTCAAGGCACCCTAGCGATTTCTCTTCTTTCAGGTCTCCTTGTCACTGACACACCCCTAGAGCCAGCAACTGAAGTGTGAAGCGTCTGCCCGTGTAGCTTCCCACCTCTGGGGTTTTTCTTGGTTCCAGTGCCAGTCTCGGGGGGAAGTGAAAAGCGGGTGAAGGGTTAGGCAGGAGATATTAATTAGTAATGCCTAGTTCCAACTTCCTCTACTTCCTCCCTGCCGAGACCACTTCCCTCCACCAGTGGTGGCTACTGGCTCCAGGAAACGATTGCTCTCCTCAGCCCCCTCTTTGAGCAGGAAGAAAGGAAAGGTCTGGATTCTCCTCCCTTTCGGAAGGAATCCACCCATCCTCTTCTATGGTTTTCCAAATAACCTCTCATATCCTCTCTAAGGCCCTCGATTTCCCTCCTGCTGCAGGCAGAGCAGCTTGAAAAGGAGGCAAGAAAAATTGTTCTAGGGAATCCGAATCCATCACCAAGGTCACAAATGAGCATTTTGACTAAGTTTGAGGTGAATAAAGGATGTCATAAATAATACTGTGGGGAGAAAACTCCAAATTTGAATATGAAATTATGCTGCACATGTGATAATATTTGTCATGTACTGAGTGCTCTGCATGGGAGCCAAGGCACTAGTTAGATAGCTTCATTTTACAGATGAGGAAACTGAGGCTAGTGTCAACAAACAAGTAAGTGGCCGAGTTTGGGCTAAGTTTTAAAAAGCCTGATTAAAAAACTCAGGTTCTGTTTTATACACCCCAGGGATTCTCTGTATCTTCAGGGAGAGGTAAATAAGTCATTCTGAATAGTTTATTTTCTAGTGGCTAAGGAGCTATCCACTCAGGAAGCTACACATAATTGAAAGCTTTCTAAAATTATGTTACACATTTTCTCGTCTCTTTTGTTATACTGAAGTGTTTACATTTTCCTGAAAACCCATCCTTAACGTGGGTGATACCATAAATGTGATGCTTCCAAGGTCTGAGGTGCCTGGGGCTACTGGTGCGCCGTGGTGGTGCTCTTCCAGTTTGTCAGAGCATTCTTATTTGCCGCCCCCCACCCCCCACCCCTTTTCTCAACCCCCGTGGCTGTTCCTGTGCTTGCAGTGTTCACTGCCTGAACCGGAATCTCCCAGGGCCTTAGAAACTAAATAAACCAGTTAGAATTGTATGTAAAGTAAATAGGCCTGAAAGGCTGACCCACTAGGAAAGCATCAAGAGCACAGGCTCCGTAACTTCCATTTTCCTGTTACAGCAGCCTGATTAGACACCTACGTTTTAGGTTGTGTCCCAGATAGATGAGCGTGCTATTTAACTGAGCTCCAAGTGAGGTGCCATGAAACTTGCATTCACACACACACAACGCATGATTTTCTCACTGTTCCTGACCTACCACACTTAAAATTTCCACCAGTCTAAACAATTTTATTTCTGAAGAAAGGAAATATTTTAAATACCCATTAACATTTGTTTATACTGCTTAAGTTTTTTCTATAATGGAATGTTTCTGGTTCACCCACTGCAGAAGTCTTTGCTACACATTTGCATAAACTTGTAAAAAAGATTAAGGAAATAACAGGAGTGTAACTTTGGATGAGTTTTAATGTACCTGCAAGTGAATAAGTATTAAAATGAGGTCATCAAGTGTAGCAGGCTGTCTTAGTCCATTCAGGCTGCTGTAACAGAATACCACAGACTGGATGGTTTAAAACAACAGAAATTTGACATACAATATTATACATCAGCTTCAAGTGTACAGTGCAGTGATCAAGCCTCTACCCCATCCATGATGCGGTCTCCCTAGCAAGACATGTGACTATCTGACGCCCTACAAAATATTTACAACATTATTAATTATATTACTCGAACTGTCTTTCATGTCCCTGTGGCAATATTGTAGTTATGTATTTATGCTGTCTAATAAAAAAATGTGTATTTCACAATAAAAAATAATAAAACAAAAAACAAAAAGAAAAAAACAAACAAAAACAACAGAAATTTATTCCTCAGTTCTGGAGGCTGGGAAGTCCAAGATGGAGGCCCCAGCAGGTTCAGTGTCTAGTAAGGGCCCACTTCCTGTTCACAGACAGCTGTGTCCTCACATGGTGGAAGGGCTGGGGGGGGGGGGGCTCTCTGGGGTCTCTTATAAGGGGACTGATTTCATTCATGAGGGCTCAGCCCTTAAGACCTCATCACCTCCCAAAGACCCCACCTTCTAGTACCATCACTTTGGGGATAAGGATTGAGCGTCTGAACTTTGGGGGAACATAAACATTCAGTCTATAGCATAAACTTAGCACAGTACGGGAACAATAAAGGATGGTTATTATTTGAACATGAATTCAACAGAAATCTGAGTAATTCCGATAATAGCCATGTATTTACTTCTACAGGTAAAAAAAATTGCTCAGTCACCCCCTCATCTACCAGAGGAAAATAAAACCAGCCTGTTAAGCTGCCTGAGGAAAATTCAACGTCTGGATTGGGAATGAATGATACTCCATCAGTCCAACTGTCCCGTTCAACACACGGGGAAGACAGGTCCGGGGGGGCTCGTGAGCTCTGCCCAGGGACAGGCCGCACTTTGGGCTGAGCCAAGCGTAGACCGGGGCTCTTTGCCTTAACACAAACGTGTCTTTCATGTATGCGGCCCTTCACCATTTACAAAGCGCCCCCTCAGCTCCATTACCGAGTTTATTATACAACATCCACGAGCTCATAGAGAAGCCTTTTCCCCACCCTCGTCTTTGGGAGATGTTTTGCATTCCCAGACCTGTGTTGCAGTAGCTAATTCTATACCGACCTTTAAATTTAAAAAGTTATATATATATATATATATATATATATATATATATATATATATATGTATATGTATGTTTATGTACACACACCCACACAATATTGAAATGCGTGTGTGTGCATATGTGCGTGTATGTGGGAGAAACAGCACCACACCTCCACTCAGCCCTTGCAGGCTACACCTTGGCAAACACAAAGCACACAGAGAATGGTCGTTGGTTTCAGAATTCCTGAGTTGCCGCTGACTCTTCAATACTAAAGGACTTGGGAGTTTTTACATTTTCAAGAGGCGTGGGAACATTTCTAGGCTACTCATTAATGAGTCTCATTTTGAGACAGAATGGTGATGTGGGCCGGCTGCTCTTCATGCATTTTCAGTAAGTCCTTCAAAGAATGAATAGTGAAGCCAACTTGTTTCTCCTCTCAGCACCTTTCCTTATTATTTTTCTTTGTTGAAAGGTTATATAAAACGGTATGGGTATACAGACATAAAAATAAGGGATATCGTGCGAAGGAGGAAGCCAGACAATAAATCCAAAAACCCTATGAAAATTAAAAGGCGACGTATTCTTTGCACAGAGCTGTTACGCACAATGAAACTGTCCTCTAAAGCAGGAATGGAACAAACTAGACATTCCACAGCAGAACAAAGCTGAGGTCTTGGCTTTATGGTTTTTAATGTCCTTAGAATTAGGCTGGGCATCAAGTGTCTTTTCCGGAATAGGCCAGAGAAGATAAGTCCAGTTTGGTTTTCAAGGCTTTAGTCATCTCCGCGGCCAGCAGCTCGTGGAGGGACACGCCGTCGTGAGAGTACACCCAGTTTTTCCCAGTCCAGTCGTAGCGCTTGGGTCCACTGCAAGACAAAACACACACAGTACTCAGAGCACAGCCCTTCGGAAGAAACGCTGATTCCACAGATGTTACCGCCGAGAACTGACTGGAGTGAAGCTCTAGACAGTAATGCTAAATGAGGCATATATTTGAATTATCTTAGGGTCTTTCTAGTTAAGAATAATTGCACAATTTATCTTCTGGAACAATTCACAGAACAATTCTCAAGACCTGAAAACATTTGAACTCTATTCATGAGGGTGAGAACAACAGTTTGAGGCAGAGAGTGCAGGCTTAACTAGCCCACACAGGGTAAAACCCCTCAAATAAGCTGAGTCTAAAAAGCAGTACAATTTGTGAATAAGGGTCTTGCTAGAAATGACAGTGATTTCTGGAGCTGTTTTAGTTGAATTCTAACATACTTCCTAGATGAGGTTGGGATGAACAAATACTATTTATTTGACAAACAGTATAATATTAACCGTTGGGGCAGGGAACAGTTAAATGTTTTAAAAATGCATATACCATTAGGCTTACAAAGAATTCCAGGGGTGGTTATATTTGGGCCTTTCCCAATTCCTAGTCAATATGTTCTCTTTGGAAGTGCTAGTAAATGACCCACAAAAGTTGGCCTAAGCTTTTTGTGGGCGTCTCTCTTATTTTCTTCAACAGCAGCCAAATGATGAGGGACCCTGTCTGCCTGCATGTTCTCAGGCCTGCAGATGCAACACAGGCGATCTCCAACACAATCTATTCTACCAGATTAAAAACACATCAATGGAAAAGGCAGGAGGAATGAAATATGGAATAATAGCAGCTTAAACACCCTCACCTCCACAGAGCACACAGTCCAACTCTGCAAATGGAATTTAACTAACCTTTAACTGAGATGCTCAAAACAAACTAGGGGTCAAACTTTAACTTGCTTTGAAGACAAAGTGCAACTTATTCAGATGCTGTGATATCCAAAGGGGCTTTTTAAAAGGCAGGCCAATGATGTGAGAGAGAAAAACTGTCTAGGCCGGGTTCTGAAAAGTGGTACACTTTTCATTTCGGATCTTGTTAACAACCCAGTATCTGCTTATAGCAGCCAAATGATCACCAGACAGAAGTTACACACAGAGAGTCAAATTTCCTACTGAGAATGAGACATGCTGTCAAACGCCAGGAAAGTGCCACTTACATAAATACTAACACACAAGGGGGACGCTTCTTAAATGGTCCAAAATGTTATGCTTCAAACAAGCTTAACAATGAGAGGTTTTGATTTCTGAACATACCTGGATGGTGAAGACAACCAGATTTGCTTGTTTGGGGTCTGCTTGTTGATCACGTAGGTTCCTAGATCTCCACCCAGTTTAATTGTTAAAACACCACTCTAGTGGAGCAGGTAGAAAAAAGCATGAGGTAAATAAAGTAAGACAAAGTCATCACTTCGTCATAATTGCTTCATATTTTATTGTATGTAAATACTTTGCATTTATACAAGTATACAACATACATCATAAAGATATATCTTTAATTCAGTGTTTAGACATAGGGGTTAACACAGAAGGGACACTGCCCTCAGAATCAGCTGTGATTTACCACAACACTCATATCTCATAACGCTTTTCCTCGCTCCCTGAGAGGCTGGCAAGGTGAGAGGGATCCTTTCCCCTCCAGAGATGAGGAAACAGAAACACAGCGCTAAGTGGCTTGTCTGAGGCATTCCAGCTGGAAAATGGGAGGGTCCGCATCCTGAATGCTGCCTTTTTTAATCAGAAAAAAAGGTTATTAAAAAAACAACCCGGGCCGGCCGAGTGGCGCGATGGTTAAGAACTCGCTTGGGATGCCAGAGGGCCCCGGTTCGGATCCCACATATGAGGGCCAGTGACACTGCCCTCCACAGCTAAGATGCTGAACAACAGCTCAACCTGGAGCTGGGCTGCCATGAGTCGCCGGCGACGGCGTAGGCTGCAGTCCCTGTGGCAGTGGATTGCCATGGGCTACTGTGTGTGGCCAGCAGCCAGCGTGAGCGGCCAGCAGCCGCAGTGAGCGGCCGTCCAGAAGCTGGCGACTGATCTGCCTCGCCAGAGAAGAGCGCAATGATGGTGCCAACTTGGGCCAGTGAAGCAACATCCTCCACAACTAGATTGAAGAACAAAACGACAGCAACTTGTCTGTTCCCCTTTCCCCAATTCCCCAGCACTGTTCCCATCCCCCCAATTCCCCAATAAAAAAAAAAAAACCCAATAGGGTCCCCCCCTCCCATGCCTATCAGTTACATTAGTATTGGTACTTTCTCCACATTTTCAATAGCTCCTTGTGAATTACCAGCCAGGACACTGACAAATGCAGAAACCAACTCTCCTGGAGTACCACATCGGCCTAAACATTGGACAGTGCAAGTTCATTACCAAAAAAAGAAAAAAGGCAAGAAAGAAGTAATCAAACCACCTGCTTTACTTGTCTTAGCAGAGCAGTAGCCTCAGTCTGCTCATGGCAAACAGACACTTCACACTAGGTGTTTATTTCCAGACCTTCCCACGTCTCATAAGCTTCTCAGATGCGTCTCTCCAGCTTTATTTTCCTCTACAGGAGCCTTGAATTCTTTAAAAGACCAGTTGGTCCAACTTTGCTCGATAAATGCTCATTGAAATTTGAAAACACTTTCAACAAAGGAGGCCTTTACTCTCAAGGCCTGAGGTCTCTTTAGAGTACGCAGGGTAATACAGCAGCAGCTACGCAGCTGGGTTCCCTTTATTGGAGCTGGTGAACAGCGAAGCCTCTCCTGTTCCCCAGCCCGTGCACGACCTGCAGACACACGCGGTGGCTTCCTCAGTCCCTTCTACAGCCCCTCCAAGCAAGGGGCTTTGAATGGTTCTGAGAACATTTTATGTTGGGTCCACGAACACAAGAACTATTGAAAATGTGGAGAAAGTACCAATAATAGTATAAGTACTAGGCATAGGATGGGGAGGACCTTCATGGGTTATTTTAATAACTGTTTTTTCTGATTAAAAAAGACACAGAAATTATAGAGACACTGGAAATACAGATTAGGTAAATAATGTGAGTACATCAATAAAAATATTAACCACTCTTCAGTTCCTACTGTGTGCCAGGCACTGTTTCACACTTTGTGTAAAATTGATTCTACCTTGACCATAACCATCGGAGGTGGAAATCATCACCCCAATTTTACAGGGGAGGACAACTGAGGGACAGAGTAATAAAGAATACTTAGTAACTGGCCAAGCTGATCTTAAATCCTGGTCTGCTGGGTTTAAAAGGTGCTCTTCGTTCCATCCACTTTTTTCCAGAACTCTTCTCTCAATCCCACTAATCAGTGGTACGAGCTGTTCACTCTCAAGTATCGGCTGCCAGTTTTTATTTTATTTTTAGAAAACATCACGAACAGGTTTTATTTGTTTAAACAGATTCTTGGACTGGGAGCTCATATCCGTCCACTCGCTCAGATTCAGCACCCGTCTCATCCCCAGTAGCCTGTGCAGGACTGCTACCTTCACCATGAACTTCCATGCCTTTTCCCAATTCAAACTTGGGCTTCGTCAGCATTTTGACTTTTCTAACAAAGACATCATGGGGCGGATAGATTGGCAAGCCTTTTCTATGTCTTTTCCAATGCTATCTGGAATCAATGTATTGACCACTTCAAGTCTTTTTTTAAATTATTATTATTGGGGAACAGTGTGTTTTTCCAGGACTCATCAGCTCCAAGTTACGTAATTGTTTCAATCTAGTCGTGGAGGGCGCAGCTCAGTGGCCCATGCGGAGATGGAACCAGCAACCTTGGTGTTATGAACACTGTGCTCTAACCACCTAAGCCAATCGGCCACCCCTTCTTTCAAGTCATTTGTCTGCACCTCTTAGATCATGATTTCCATCATCTTCTTCTGGATTTGGTGGACCTGTTGATGCTGAGCATATGTGGTCTTCTGAATCTGATTGTTGTGTTTTTTAGTGAAACCAAAACAGAACAGACAAAACAAATAACCATCAGTAGTCCTGATATCAACATGAGCTTCAGTCATGGTCTGCCATTTTTTGACCATGGAGCACATTTCGTTACAGGTAAGATCCATGCCACGGAAACCAGTCAGGCAGTTTTTGCCCTGAACATCCTCAGTAATTAACTTGAATTTTCTAAATGCAACTTCATCATTCTGCAGATCAGTTAGGTTAACTTAACAAACACGACCCTTGCGACCATCAGATGTGATTTTGGTTCCCTGAGTTCTTGTGACTAGTGTTTTCCTAATATTTCTTATACTGAACATAGCTGGTACTAATCATACCACTATTTCTTAGAAAATGGGTCAAAGACTTTTTTCTTGACTCCCTTTGTGCTGCCCTTCGTAAGGCACTTATTCTTGCCGAAAACCATGGTGCTGCTCAGAGAGCCAAAAGGCTTGGCTGCCAGTTTTTAAATGCATTTTTTAGAAGATCTAGGATCATACTGTACATAAGTTGATGTTTTTTTTAATTTTCCTGAAACCTCACCTTTATTATTTTGGTAGAAATACATTTCATTTCTTTAAAAATTTCTTAAAATTGTGTAATTCAGTAGTTTTTAATATTTCACAATGTTTGCATAAAGTGTGCAAACATCGTCACTATCTAATTCTGGACTATTTCTGTCATCCCCCAAATAAACCCTGAACCTAATTAGTAGGCACTCTGCATTTTTTTTTTAGCTGAGCCATCCTGCCATCTGTTGGCAGCTCAGTGGCAGCTCAGCTCAGACAGGGAATCGAAACTGCGACCTTGTTGCTCAGAGCTCACACTCTTGAGCGAGCTCTTAACCAATTGAGCCACTCGGCCCGCCCATCACTCCATATTTTTTCTTCCGCATACATACAGTGTTTAGCTTATTTTTCCCAGTGATATCAGGCTTGGAATCAAGACATAATTGTTTCTAATTTGACCTATTTGTGGCCCTTACCTGCCCCATTGTATGGTGCTCCCTACACTCGGGGAGGCGCGTGATGCAGCAGGAAAGGCAGGGGGCTGGGTCTCGGGTTGCAGGTTCTAAGTCTCATCAACCAGCCTGCTCCCTCAGGACAACAGCTGTCCTGTTCCTTCAGAGACTAAGTGCAAGGATAGAGGGGCTGACGGGTGCTCAGGGTCCCGCACAGGCTCCTGGTCACCATCATGCCTTCGAACATGAGCTCAAATCAGGGGATGGCAGATATAATCAGTGAAAGCCAAAATCTACTTTTTCCAACCCCAAATCTGAGTGACTCCAGGGAACAGGCCACACAGTAACAAAAAGCATACTAATAAGACCACCACAAGAATCCTTCTAGATGCACAGGTTCCAAGCTGCTTCCTCCACCTGGCACTTTCTCCGTGGTCTGCTCCCTCCCTGCACAAGACCAGCAACTCCTCTGCTCTAGGTCCCACCTGAGGGGCCTCTGGGAAGGGTACTTGATGCCTCTCAGCGGTGGCCAGGGCCTGTCCGTGTCCCCACAGCCTTCCATGCTTTCCTCATCACATCTGTGATGTTGGCTTCCTGGCTGGTCACTTGCCCCCGACCCTCCACTACTTTAAGCACCCAAGAGCAGATCTGTCTGTCCACCCTATCGTCTTCAGTGTCTGGCACATCCTTTCTTTGTGCAAAATACTGGATGGATACAAAATACATTTGTGGAGGAATGAATGGACCAGATGATAACCAGGCACTGGGGTAACAAGTGCCAAAGCTAAGGGCAAGGTTATGCAAGGCAGAAAGTCTCAACACTCACTGCCCCGCTTCCTGTTCACTGTGTGTAATTAGATTTTTTCCCCATGGAGCTTGAAGCTGTTTCCAAAGGAAAGCAGCAAGAGGTGGAAGGAAACGAGCTGCCTTACTGGTTCACCAGTTCTTCCTGCTTTTGGAACTCTCTGCAATAGGCCAGCTGAGGAGGGTGCTTTGTTCATCATTAGTATTCCTTACGTGGCAGCCTAAGTCTATTTTGGAAGTGTGGACAGACTTCAGTGCGGGGGAGGGGAGTGAGAGGGTAGAGATAGTCAAAATATTTAGCAGCTGCTGAGACATGGGCAGGGATCAGAACAGACTTGGGTAGGTTTATTAATTCCCGCCAATCAATATCAGCCCTATACACACAGAGGCAAAAATGGCAGTTTCTGTTGTCACCAGCTGATCTGTATAAATAGACATATGGGGTGGGATATTAAATTACGGGATTTCACGTATACGTGGCTTCCCACATATAGACACCAACTTCCCTTAAGGGATAAGACTAATGAACATGAAGCACTTATTTTGTCGTATTTAATCCTAATATAATACCAGAGAAGTAGAGGAATGTCACAGCTGGAGAACCGGCCACTCACAGAAGTTAGATAATCGCTTAAGGGCTCTTGAAAAGAACATACATGCCCAGGGTGCTCAGCCACACCCTCTATCTCCATCTCCAATAAATGCTGCCTCTGAGCAAGTGTCCATAACTTGAGACCCAGAGGTGGTTTTCAGGGGCCTGCAAACAGCCCCTACCCTGAAGCTGAAACTATGCTCATGGATGTGTGGGGAAGTTTTTCTTGGGAGAGGGTCTAGAGTGGTCAGGTTCTTACAGGAGGTCCTGACCCAAAAAAGGTTAGAAACCTGTGCTCTACAGCAGTAATATGCCAACAACTTAGTGAATGAACAACATGGTAACAAGCAAATCTCACTTAAAAAACCAATAACTAATGTGTTCCTGGGTGTATCTGGATTACTGCTGTCATTTGCTGATTTGACCAGTGGTTTACTTGGTAAAACAACTAGAAATGCTGAGCAGCATCAATGAAAATGTGTTTTAGAAAAGTAGTGGGCCCCATTTCATTTACACAGTGAATCAACATTTTTATTACTTGGCAGTGTCCCAGGCCCTGGGAATACCGAACAAGAATGGACATGCCCCTGCTGCCAAGAAACTCAGTCTGGCCATGGGAGCTGATGTGTAAACGGACAACAACAATACAGGGTGATCAGTGCTCCACAGTCATTCTCCGAGTGTGGGGCAAGGGAGGACTGGTGGTGTCTGCCTGGGGCATCTAGGAGGGCTTCACACAGGAGGTAACATCTAACTGGGCCCTGCAGGGGTTCAGAACAGGCGTCTCCTCAAACTGTGCCACTTTGGCATGTGAATTATTTTGAGCTGAAGGAGATGGAGACCCTGCAAGCCCAAGAGAAACTTTGAGCTCTCCCTTAAAGAATTTAAATTTGGGGCCTTGCCCACAATGAAAGTTATTACCAGAGATAACTTTTTATGACCTATCTGTACGGCAGGGCAAACTTCTAACCACTTAGCATTTGCTCTTCTTATCGTCTTGCAATGACCTTCCTCCCCTCTGAGACTCCAAGGCATCTTATCTCATCTTTAGCTCAGAATGCCACATATACCTCATTGTAACTTTCTGTCTTTGAAACCTCTAATGTATGTGGGGTTCCCATACATACATATGTAATTAAATTTGGTTATTTCCTATTGTTAATCTTATATAGATTTAATTATTAAACCTAGCAGGGTAAAGTTTTTTCCTCCCCCACAACCCTGAAGGCAGGGAAAGAATGCCCTCCAACAAAGCTCAAGTAAAGCACCTGAAGGACTCTAAGGAGGAATTCACACCCCAGGGTAGATACTTAGCATTTCTAAGTATTTAATCAGAAGTTCAAATTACAGAGGCAGGTACTACATGCCTTTAGTTTTCCATATCTACACTAAAGAATTTCCTAATTAGCAAATGACTTGCTAGAAATAATTTTTTGGGGTGAGTAGAATGATACTCAAGGTATATGGATTGACTTAGGAAAGAAACAGGTGCCCCTTTCCTTGCAGGAATGTGTTACAGGATCTAGAAAGCCCAGCAGCTGAATCACTCTGCAGAGAGACACCAGAGGTAGGATTCAGCTAAGGCCCTGTGACCCACCAATGAGCAAAAGGTTTTGTTGCTGGTTTCATAAGGTACACAGAATTCAGCTGCTAGAATCCTGGCACAATTGCTTCAAATGAAGCATTTATGCAAAGTACTTGGGTCAAGGTGGGGCTTCACCAATCCTATAAGAACAGGTGGTGTGAGTGTTCTTGTGGCACGTTAATATGTTTGCATGTGGCACAGTTTAGCCTGAGACTTGGCTTCCCTCTAGTACAGCCTCTGGCAGGGAGGCAGGGAGAGGGGAGACCTGTAACTTCCCCAGCTGTAATCATCTCACAGATGGTCAAGTTGGCCAGGCCAGTTGGTAATGGCTCCCAGAGAGCTCTGCGCTCTGAGGCTGGCTGCATAAGAACGTCTAAAGCCCTGCCCAGTCACTGCTGCATTTTCTGCTGCGAACAGCAATCACTGAAGCCACCTGGAAGGCATTCATTCCTTTCTTGCCTGTTACCTCTAGTTTTACCAAATTCCTCACTGCCCTACAACCAGGCTTGACACCTCCAAGGCTCTGCTGCCTGCTCCATCTGAGGGAGTCCTTCTCTACCCAGGACCCCAATAGCAATATCCAACAGCATTTCTATCGCTTTAGCCTGACAGCTGGTTGTCCTAAATAATTCCACGGTTTCATCAAACATGCACACTTCATGACATTTCCTGGTATTAATTAATTGCTGTCTAGAGGATTAACCTCTGCAGGGGATTTTCTCCCACTGGCGAAAAAGAACTGCTCCCTAAAGCCAAAGCATTAATTCTAAATCCAAAGGTGGCTCATTGCTCACGTCTGCCACCTGGTGGCCAGTCGATGGGACCTGCACTCCCTTGGCTTCCAGAATCTGGGGCTCAAGTTTCATCTAGGCCAGAGGTTGTCACCCAAGCTTCATATTAGAATCACCTGGGGTGGGGATTTTAAAAACTTAAAAAACCCCAACACTTTGCCTGGGCCACACCCCAGGCCCATTAAATACAAATTCCTAGGGGTGGGACCCAGGAACGCACATTAACATCTTAGGTGAGCTTTTCAAAAGTATGCTTCCTCTGAATGTACCCTGCCCTACTGTATCAGAATCTCCCAGGACTGGGGCCAGGTCTGTGTAGTCTGGGTACGTCTTGGGCAGTATCTCACTCTGCTTAAGGACTGCGTTCTAGCTCCGTGTTCCCCAGGCCTGCTCGATGAGACACACACATGCTGCGCCCCTTTCTGCTTTACCTTTATGGCTGTTGAGTAAAGCTGGGGAATCTGTATTTTGAAGCAAAAATGAGGATAAAAGAGGCTGAGTGACTTGCTTAAGCTCATAAAGCAGGTGGCGCAGGGCTGGAATGTGAACCCTAGGTTTTTGGTCTTACCCATAACCGCACGCTGCTGGATGCTTAACTCTCCTGGAGGGGAATTTTTTTTTTTTTTTTTTTTTTTTTTTAGCTGAGCCATCCTGCTACCTATTGGCAGCTTAGCGGCTACTCAGCTCGGGCTGGCCTCGAACCGCTGTTGCTCAGAGCTCAAACTCTTGAGCGAGCTCTTAACCAACTGAGCCATTCGGCCGGCCTCTGGAGGGGAATTCTTTAGTGAGCTAAAATTCTTAGGGAGGAAACAGAAAAGTAAAAATAAGTGAAGACGTACCCCAAAGGAGACATCATAGTCTTCAAATGTGTAAGGTTTGTCTGCAAGGTCTTCAAAAAACTCTGCCAAAGAGTCCAGTGTCTCCTCTGCCAGTTTTTCATAGGTGGCCTCATCTAGGGCACTGCAGGAAAGCACCACCACCAAAAGCATGTGATTACCAGACCACTCCATTTTATTAACATCAAACCATCACATTTATTTCTTATTTAGATTTTAAGAATTGATGGGAAATAGCTAATATGTACAGAGTAAAAATTTAAACAGCATGCCAGGGTTAACAGAAAAGAATTTCTTCCCAAATAGGCAGCTGTGATCCCCAGAGTCAGCTACAATGACAGTCCTTTCTGTATCCTCCAGAAAATTTATATTCTTTTTAGTATACAAATGAAGCACCTTACAGTTTTCATTTACTATGTCTTGCAAATTATTTCATATTAGCACATACGGATTTTCATAGTATTTTTTTTTAAATGGTAATTAAAAAAAATTTTTTTTATTGGGGGACAGTGTGTTTTTCCGGGACCCATCAGCTCCAAATCAAGTAGTTGTTTCAATATAGTTGTGGAGGGTGCACTTCAGTGCCCCATGTGGGAATTGAACTGGCAACCTTGGTGTTACGAGCACTGTGCCTAGCACGCTAACCACCTGAGCTAACCGGCTGTCCCCATAGTATTTTATTTTATGTTATTAATTCAACCTGTCCCCTTCAGCTGGACGTTGAGTTGTTTCCATTGCTTTTATGATTAACATTTTTGTTTGGCAAACCACAAAGTGGGAGAAAACAATCTGCATTACATACCATATTTCCCCATGTATAAGACGCTCCCATGTATAAGACACACCTGAATTTTGGGTCCCGAAATTTGAAAAAAAAAATGTATTACATAAAGCTATTGAACTCGAGTTTTATTCATCATAAAATTCATACAACTCCTCATCACTGTCAAATGCAAGTACAAAAAATCTATAACCACTGTATAAGACACGCAGTTTTCAGACCCCAAATTTTTTGAAAAAGGGTGTGTCTTATCCATGGGGAAATATGGTACATCTGAAAAAGGACTTATTTCTAGAACATATAAAGAACTACAAGTCAATCATAAAAAGAAAACCCGGTAGAAAAATGGGTAAAATACTTGAACAGATCTCATTAAAAATGATACCTAAATGCCTAACAAACATATAAAAAGATGTACAACTTTGTTAATCTTAAGGAAAATAGAAATTAAAAAATCACAATGAGATACCACCAGGATGGTTAAAATGAAAGGGACAGGTAATATCAAGAGTTGGCCAGGAAGTAAAGCAACCAGAACTTTCAGATACTGCTGAGGGGCCAGTAAATGGGACAATCACTTTGGAAAACTGTCAGGCAATATCTATTAAAGTTGAATACATTCACATGCTGTCAATTCTACTCTTGGGTATATACCCAATAGAAATGCATATCTAGTAGAAACAGATATGTTCTAGACTTAAGAACAAAGTGATGGTTGCCAGAGGGGCGGGGGTGAGAGATGGGCAAAACAGGTGAAGGGAATTAAGGTACAAACTTCCACTTATAAAATAAGTCACAGAGATACAATGTATACAAAGGGCATATGATTAATAACATGGTAATAACTTTGCAGGGTGACAGATGGTTACTAGACATATTGAGGTGATCATTTCATAAGGTATATAAATGTCGAATCACTGTGTTGTACTGAAACTAATGTAATAGTCTGTCAGCTATATTTTAATTAAAAATAAAAAGAAGTGCATATCTCAGTTCACCAAAAGACACGCACTATACTAGAACATAGCAGAAGTACCCAGTAGCCCCAAACTGCAAACTGCCCAAGTACCCATATGCAATACAATAGATAAATTGTGGTATATTCATATAATGCAATACTGTATAGCAAATCAGAACTGCCTATAAATGTAACAATATGGACAAATCTCACAAACATAATGGTGACTGAAAGAAGCTACACACAAACATACTTAATATTTAAGGATATAGTTTATATAAATTAAAAAAACAGGTAAAACTAATCCAGGCTACTGGAAATCAGAATGGTAATTACTCTGGGGGCAGGGAGGGGCTAATAAGTGAGCAGGAGGCTTGCTTTGGGGGGCTGGTGACATTCTATTTCTTGAGTTATATGCTATGTTCAGTTTTCAAAAATTTATCAAGCTGTATATTTATGACTTGGAGACATTCCGGTATATGTACTATTTTTCAATTTTAAAAAATTGTTATAAACCCATAGAGACAGAAAGATTAGTGGTTGCCAGAGGTTTGGGAAGGGAGTGATTATTAATGGGCACGCTATTTCTTTCTGGAGTGATGAAAACATTCTGAAATTAGATAGTGGTGAAAATTGCACAACCTTGTGAATATACTAAAAACCACCAAATGGAACATTTTTAAATGGTAAATTTTATGGTATGTGCATTATAACAATAAAAATACTACTTTAATAAACATCCTTTTATGAGCTTTTGTGCCCCTATGAGGATATATCTGTAGGTTACAAGACATATCCCAGACAACTCCATCATCTGAGAGTTGCCAGGAGGCCTAAAGTAAGACACCAGGGGCTGCCAGACAATGAATGCAAGACATACAGATTTGTCATATGACCACCCACCACCCAGCCCTTCACCTGCTTCAAGGGTATAATGTGAGGAAAGTTACAGGACTGGTCAGGAGATGGTGAGGGGCTGTTCTTCAGAGTGGTGGGCCTGGTTGGGTGTGTTGCAGAGAATGTAGAGAAGAGGCTGACGTGTCAGGGACCGAGAATAGAGTGAGAAAGTCAAGAGTTTGGGAGGGGCTACCCAACAGCAGCCAGCTGGGCCACTGCAGAAGTGGGCTGTCCTCCTACATGTGGCAGGACAAAGGTGTGCTTCCCTGAGGCCAGAAGTAGACCCTGAAGAAGGGAACTGGACTTGGGGCATCCTGCAAGGGCCCTACCTAACCTCGGAGGACCGCTTGCAGGGATGAGGGTACAGCAGCAGAAAGTCTGTGCAGGGGGGAGCTGGAAATGGTGCCACCCAAGCCAAAACCTAACATAGGGAGCATATAGCACTGGCTCAGAAGCTATGTGGAAGGGCCAACAGACACAGAAGGCTGGGCACTCATGAGGCCCTCTGTTACCCCGCTGCCTGTGATAACCTGGAAGACCAACAGTGTGATTACTTACTTAGCCTATAGTTGTGGGGACAGTTAGAATGTTCCTGTGTATGGGTGGCTCCTTGCTGCTGTTAGCAGGTGAGAACTGGCATGTGTGCAGGTCCGATGGGATGAAATGGAGTGTTTGGGGATTAAAGACTGCCCAGACATGGAAAAGCCAAAGGGAGGCTGTAAGGCTCTGAACAACAAGGGCCTCTCATTAAGCCAAAAAGGAGGATCCAATCTTGTTGCGAAAATCAGGTTGAGAGAGCTGAGCGTGGGACGAGGATGCAAAAAAATAAGGCAACCTAAGGCTTCATCCAGGGAAGAAATTTGGATGTGGTTACTGGCAACGGGACTGACAGGGAGTAAAGAGATAGGAAGCCTGTCGGTGTTTGAGAGAACCCTGTTATCAGAGAAAAATGAGTCTGGTCTACAATAGCCCATGGAAGCCTTAAGACATGATAGCCTTTGTAAGCCCAAACTGCTCTCAGTGGGCTGTGAAGGCTGCCTGCCTCCCCTATGACCAAGTGGGGTAACGGACAAGGAGGAGACTCCCAGGGGGCAGAATCAGGGTTTCAAGGAGGAATGTCCCCCTCAGCCAGGGCAGAAGTTGTCCTAGTGCTGCCGAGGGACTCTGTTGCTGCAATGGACCAGGAACACGTCTCTTTTCTGAATGGGAGTTGTGGTAGCTATCTTGCTCCTCTCCATGTGTGTAAGTCAGAGAAGCCATTCCTAGTCTTAGAGAAAGGACTGCATGGCACCTGGAAATCTTGGTCTTTGAGGTGGATGAGTGACTACATGGGCTGTGGTTGCAGCCTTGGGGCTGGAGGCAGTGTGGTGGTGTGCGGAAAGAGGGTCTGTGTAGGTATTGGTGGCAAAGGGTAGACTGCAGCAGTGCCTGGCAGCCTTCCACCAGAGCCCATCACCTCCTCTTCCAGGTCGCCCACTAGACCAAATTTCCCAGCCTCCCCTGCAGCTAGCTGGGGCCATGTGACCAAGTCCTTCCCACTAAAATGTGAGTGAGGGACAAGTGCCACTTCCAGGCCTCCCAAGCTCTTGTCTGTTTCTGTAGAACAGAACCTGGACAGGGCGACCTGGCCTTGACCATGCAAAGGTCAAGTACTGACAGGCATGACAGTAAAGTACTGACAGGCATGCCCACCCTGGGCTGCTGGACAGAGGGACACAAACCACTCCTGGTCTGAACCATTACAGTTTGGGTCTATTTGCTACAGAAGCTTGGCCCATCTTAACGACTAAGATAGCAAAGAAAATAACAACACTCTGGAGACAACCTAAATGTCCAACAATAGGGGATAGGTTCAATGAATTATGGTATGTCCATAAAATTTAATACTACTTCATTTAAAAGTGTGTTACACAATGATGTGGAAAGACGCTTTTGAGTGCTGCTGCTAAGAGAGAAAACAGATTCCATATGGGGTGGTTTTTTTGTTTGTTTGTTTTTTAAGGTAAGAGAAAAAGAAAAAAAAGAAAAAGATAACAGAAATGTGTGTATGTGTGCATATGCTGTGTATTAAGAAAGAGAGAAGGAAGAGATCTCTGATGTGGAAGGTATTTATCTTACCCTGGGTCGCGCAAAGTTCCTGTTGTCCTCCAGTTCATCAAACAGACACTCTGCTTTTTGACATTCAGCATCTGGTTGAGGCAGTGGAGGCTCCAACTCTAAAAGGCAAAATTAAGAACATTATCAGTTTTCAGTATATTACAGTCCATTAATGCATGGTTTAAATATTGCCACTTCTACATTTGAGAGTAACCATGTTAGAGTTTTTCAAGAGTATGTCTTAGGAATTGTTTTCACCTTCTTTTAATGCATTACACTGAGTTCTCCCGGTCTCACTCTAAGCCTGTGCTGTCCAGCATGGCAGCCAAGAGCTACATGCAGCATTCAAATTTATCGAAATAAAATAAAAATTTAAAAAGTCAGTTCCTCAGTCGCACTGGCCACATTTCGAGTGTCCTGTGGCATCATGTGGCTAGTGGCACAGACAGAACAAGTCCATCATCACAGGAAGTTCTGCTAGGCAGCTCCGGTGAGGTGGTGGTTAGCACAGGTGATGCAGCGAAGCATCAGTAACGCTCCTAGCATTTGACTAAAACAAAGCAACAACTGGCAAGAGGCAGAAGTCTGCTGCCGTCCAGAAAAGAGGCTCTGACTGCCGACAGCTGTCTGACAGATTGAGTAACGGGATCTGCAGGAGACAATGTGACCTATTGATTTCTTTCAGTACAGAACTGCTGAGCGTCCAAGGTGCCAGCTCTGAGGCAGGTTTGAGCTGATTATGTGCAGGCCTACTGAGCAGCTGGAGAGACGGAGGAAATACGTGGAGGCGGCTGAGGGAAGCGGCTCTGGCAGGGGGACCTACCAGTGCGGGAGGGCACGAAGTCTGTGAAGGGAGAGAGAAGTGGTACAGCCGGCGTGGTGACAGCAAGGGGGGTGACTGAGAGAGGCGGCGGCCACAGGGCCCTGTGAAGACCCTTAGCTGGACGTCATCCTGGGAAGGCGCCGGAGGGCCCAGAGGCTGTCGCTTATGGCTCTTGAACCATCAGTGCCCTTAGCAAGAAAGGAAAAGGCAGAGGGCACGGGGCTGCGAGGTGAGCAGAGGAGGAGGAAATGGGGGTGCGGAGCTAGACAGTAGGTTAAGAAAGGTTGCCTCTGGAGGAGAGAGAAGTGGGAGCAGCTGTGATAACCACAGTTCTAGCTACGGCACATTCCAGCCCGTTCACTACCTGCCGGACATTGTTCTCAAGTCCTTACAGAAACAGACCGGCTCAGCGCCGCCGCACGCACCGTCCGCCCGCGCTGCCCAGCGCCGTCTCTGCGGGCGCGCGTGCGCGAAGCGTCACCGACATGCGCGGTCTCCCTCCGCCGGCGCATACTCACGGCAGGGCCGGGCGCGCAGGCCGCGGTGGTCCCCGCGCGCAGGTCCCGGCGGCCGCAGGGTGGGATGGGCCTCGCCGGGCGCGGGGTCCCAGCACCGGTCTTGGCCGAGGCCGGGGGCGCCGAGCGGGACAGGAGGCCGGCAGCCGTGCGACGTCCGAGCGTCCACATGTTCCTGGCGATCTGCAGCCGCTCCGCCCTCCGGCTCCGGGACGCCGGAGCGACACCTGGTGGCCACGGGCCGCAAGCGCGGCCGCTCGTCGCCGCGCTCAGGGCCCCCTCTTCTGTAGGCTGTGTGAAACGGCCCGAGGTTAGACCTCAGGAAGAACTTCCTAGCATTGCATTGTTTTGTGTACTTAACAGGTGTCTGTATAACATGTCTGTCTAACACAAAAATGGAGAGCCTACTGTGTTCAAAGCATGGAGCATACCTCTTGGGCAACTTAGTGAATGAGTAAACAAGGTTCCTGACCTCGGAGCCCTTAGCCTAGTGAAACTGCCGCTGCAGAACTTCTATACAGGAGGAATTTGGGAGCTGCAGTCTTGCTGGGAACTGGTTGGGGTGCAGATCTTGAAGCTGCTTGGCCGCAGGTGTAGGTTACAGCAGTTTAAACCAGAGTGTGCAGGCAGGACATGGACTGTCTGGTTTAAATCTGGACAGTGCATACTTGCGATCTGTGCAACCAGTAGGCATAAGTTAATCTCTTTGTGATTCATCTGTAAAATGGGGTCTATAGAAGTTTCTACTTCATGGGGTTGTAAGGATAAAATGAGGTAATCATGTAATGCGTTGTTGGACAGGCCCTGGACCCTGTTAAGTGCACAGTAAGTATTAAGTTGCTAATACGTTTTATTAATAAAAGAAAAACTTAGGTTGTGTATTGCAAAGGAATACAAGTTGTGAAGGTTTCCTTCATATTTTATATATGCTTTAGAAAATGTCAAATGTACATACCAGAGAAGATCATTTTTATAGGGAAGGTAGTGGACAGAGGAGATGGCTAAACTCCCTGTTGTGCCCTGTCTGAATTCCAGACCCCCAGATTCTGTAAGCCTAAGGGATGTTGGCTTGGGTTTCAGCCAGTATGTTTTGGGGTAACCTGTTACACAGCCATAACAACTGGAACACATGGCCGTCTCCTCCTCATCCTCTAGGAACACCGATGTCAGATGTGACCTCCTCCAGTGTCTTTTCTGAAACGAACCTCTCTCTCCCCGCAAGTGTGTCTTAGGCACCCCCCCCCATGTGTTTCTACAGCCTGCAGTGTAATTGTGAGTTTTCTTATTTAGCTGGTATCTTGGACACATAATGGACACTCTATTGATGAGTGAATGAATGAAAGAAAAAGTGAACAATGTTCTTCTTTGTTGGTCTCCTACTTCTTCAGTGGTGACTTTCTTGTCTTGTGGCAATAAATAGTGTGGAATAACTGATACTGGTTTACAGAGTAATGGTTTACAGAGTAAAAACCTCCTGCAAGATATTTATTTGCATTTTACTTAGAGCCTTAAAACTTTCAAGACCCAATGAGTGGATTTTAAAATCTTACCCCAAATCTGAAATTGCTCCAGTCTATGCCATCTCAGTAAATAATATCTTTAGTCACCAAATGGTTCTTTCCAGTAACCCTGTCTACCTTCCTTCTCCTCACTCCCACACCCAACCCACCAATGAGTTTTGTCAATTGTACCTCCTAAACACCCAACCCCAGGCAGTCATTTCTTCATACAGAAGGCAGTGTTATTTCTTTTTTTCTTTTTTTTTTTTTTTAGATTTTTTTATTGGGGAATTGGGGGGATGGGAACAGTGCTGGGGAATTGGGGGAAGGGGAACAGACAAGTTGCTGTCGTTTTTGTTCTTCAGTCTAGTTGTGGAGGACATTGCTTCACTGGCCCAAGTTGGCACCATCATTGCGCTCTTCCCGGGCGAGGCAGATCAGTCGCCGGCTTCTGGGTGGCCGCTCACGGCGGCTGCTGGCCGCTCACGCTGGCTGATGGCCGCTCACGCTGGCTGATGGCTACAGACGGTAGCCCATGGCAACCCACTGCCACAGGGGCTGCAGCCCACACCGTCGCCGGCGACCCACGGCAGCCCAGCTCCAGGTTGAGCTGTTGTTCAGCATCTTAGCTGCAGAGGGCAGTGTCACTGGCCCTCATATGTGGGATCCGAACCGGGGCCCTCTGGCATCCCAAGCGAGTTCTTAACCATCGCGCCACTCGGCCGGCCCATCGCGCCACTCGGCCGGCCCTGATTTCTTTTTTTCAAAGCAATGACTTAGTGTTTTGTACAAATGACCTATTTGTGCAAAATTCAGGAAATTTTAAAAAATCTATTAAAAAAAAAAGCAGGAAATCACCCCTCAGAAATAACCACAGTAAACATGTGATGAACATCTTTCTAGACAGTTCAATAGGTATATGTATTTCGTTTGTCGAACAAGCTGGTCATGGAAGAATGCAAGGTGAAATCAATCTTTTATTGCACTTCACAGATGTTTTTCACAAATTGAAGGCAAAGACCTTCCACCAGCGAAAAGATTGTGACTTGCTTTTTTGAGATACCCACTTTATTGTGGTTGTCTGGAACTAAACAAATTCCCACTTATTCTTGTTTGGCCTTGGGCTTCAGCTCAGTGCTCTGACTCAGAGCCTACCGCTTCACGTCCTGCCAGGAGGTGACTTCAGCTGTGGGGAAAAGCAAGCCCATTGCATTTGCTTGGATTGATTAGTAAGAGAAATTGCTGGGGATGTTCATCTCTGACATTTGCTAAGGGCAAATTTTTCCGTAACAAGAGATGAGAAATAGCAGTGTGTCCCAGGAGACTGATTATGGGACCAACATTTGAATCCCAGCTCTTGGAATGCAATTTGATAGATGATCTTGACCTTAATGTAGTTTAAATTCATAAGCTAGTCATAAAAATCGATCAGTAATTCCAGAATGTTTTTGACAATAAACATGAAATGTAAATTATTTAAATAATGTGCCAATTATTGAGACAGTAGCCAGAAAAAAGGAGGTTTGGATTTACTGACTGAGCAAGGTTCCCTGCAGGGTCTCTTGGAGCCATGTGTGATAGTGTTTGATCCTTGATTTTACAGATTAAGAAAGCTTCAGGCAAAGGACTCTCACAGTACAAACACTCTTAATGGAGGTTGGTTGAGAGGACAAGAGAAAACAAGCAAATAATATATCTGAGATACCACTTTAGAGAGTCATTTTTGTTGTTGGATTTGCCTTAGTATACCAACAGCCTTCAAGGAAGCAGCCCGGTGTAGTAGAAACGTGGAGACTTTGTGGACCTAGACAAGATATATTTGCAAAGCATAATTTTCAAAAAGTTAAAAACATAATTCTCATGCAAATATATACTGAGTATGTGTCAAAGATTAATTAGATGTTATGGGCTGAATTGTGCTCCCCCAAAATTCATACAATGAAATCCTAACCTCTAGCACTTCAGCATGCGACTATATTTGGAGATGGAGCTTTTAAAAAGGCAATTGAGGTTAAATAAAGTAATAAAGCTGGGGCCCTAATCCAATATAACTGGTGTCTTTATAAGATGAGGGAGAGACATCAGGGGTGCCCATGCACAGAAAAAGACCATGTGAAGAGGCAGCAAGAGGGTGGCCAACTGCAAGCCAAGGCGACAGGACTCAGAGGAAACCAGCCCTACGGATGCCTTGATCTTGGACTTCCAGCCTCCCGAATGAGAGAAAATAAATTTCTGTTGTTTAGTCTACCCGATCTGTGGTAGCCCTAGGGAAGTATAAGAGA